GAGTCAGTACCTTCAGCAAGCATTTGTGAACCTTCTATTAAAAAAAAAAAAAAGAAAAAAAAAAAGGCATTCATTTGCCAGAAACATGAAATGGTTTTATTTAATCACATAGTTAATGTCTTTTCGGAGCCTATGTCATTGAGGACTACTTAGAAAATACATGTAGATTTATCTTATCAATTTATCTTATCTTACTATCAGATAACCTGTAAAATATCAGTTCTAGTCAGTTGTTTTTTGTTTCTAAATAATGGTTTTCTATAGCTGAATTTAATCAGATAGTTGGTCAAATACAGCGAAAGATTTAGGTCTGATGTTATTTCTTCAATGTTGCTATTTCTTCAGTGTCGTGGTAAGAAAACAATAGGTAATACCTATAGCGTATCTAATGAACTTAAGGTTCATTAAATCCAGTTATAGAAGTTCATCATATACTATCTTTTTAAAAGAGACTTTATAGAGTGAGAGATAATTCTATATCCAAGACCATAAAGTATTTTATAAACCCCTACAAAAAAAAATGTTCAAAAATTGGCATAGTAAGGAGCATGACATACTACAAATACATAAATAAAATGAAGAGAAAAAATATACTTTTTAATTGCAAACTTTCATTCATTTTGCCATCCTTATAATCAGGTCCAGAAGAAGAAAGTGAATCTAAATGTATTCTGAGATTTTAATGTCAAAATGTGGTCAGCGTTTTGCCAGGGTAGATTTCCAAGTCCTCAAAAAAATGAAAGAGCAATGTAACTCAATTTTATAAGATATTTCATTACAAAGGCTGAGTTCATTTATGTTTTGTTTAATATGCTTTATTTTTAAAGAATAATTTGTGAAAAAAAGATACAGATCTGAGATTGGATTTTGGAAACTCTAGTATGGGAATGTGTTTCTATTTCAAGATTAACTTCTAGACAAACTTTAAAATTAAGATCCTTACACCTGCAGAAGCAGAATACATGTTACATAGCCATTTCTGGTACAGCTTTGCCTATGCAGTGTATTTATTACCATACAAAAATCCTATCATATTAACACACATCATACATGCCATGTTATGCTTTAGTACATCATTGCCAGATGAAGAATCAAGGAATAGCTATTAACCTGTATGACTGTTGGGACTAAATAATGAGTATGGTAAGTAAGCTGTCTGAGCAAGGAGAGAATTTTTATGAGTATCTTCTGCCAAGAGCTTGTGAAGATGACAGTGGGAAATAGCAAGAAAGAGAAAATAGAAGACAGACAGAAGACAGGCAGGTTCCCAGAGACCCTGAAGATATGTTAGGGCAGCAAAATAGAATAATTTTTTTTCAGAATGGGAAGTTCTGCTTAAATGCAAGGCTAGATCTGGCCAACACAAATCAGTCTGGAGCAAAGAAAAATAGTCCCATGGTCTGGGGCACCCAAAAAATGTGTCAAGTGAGTAAGGGAGAGAAGTATATCCATGCACCAACCACAGACTGAGACAAAGGAATGCATTTATCATGTTTCCTTAGGTGATTTATTTCCTCTTTCTACCCAAGTAGAAAGTGAGTTCTTCTTCGGAATCCCACAAAAAGCTTTAGCATACC